AACGAACTTATCTTCAGATTGTATTAACAAGAATCTGAGCTCATAGAGAGTTAATGAAATTATATGACCGCCACTGTTTACACTAGTTAGCAAAGCGATGAGTCATGTCGGCCACAGCATCGACTATAATCCCACAGGATTCTAAACTACTGTTCTTCCGCTTTCTTTATAAACAGATTGCGACAGCAAATATTTAAGAGCAATGAAATTGGTTAGCGGATTTTCTGCTGATTTATCAAGTTTAAAACTACATGAACAACCTGGAGCATTTGAGGTTGCTATTCCAGCAACATGGACATGGTTTTACCTTCGGAAACAACAATTGTTATTGTTCTTCCAAGATCCTACTCATCTTGCCACCAAATTACGTAACCGTTTACTGTCAAAATCAGTCGAATTAAAAATGGGAGAATTCTCTATCACCTTGTCACATTTAACAGATTTAATTGAGAATAATTCAAAACTAGATCATGGTCTGGTTAGCACTGACATTTTTCCAAAAGACCGTCAAAATTATGCTTCTTTTGTGAAAATATCAAGTGCGAATGTTTTGAATTTATTGAGTAACTCAAACGAAACACAAGCAACATTCGTCTATCTTCAGTTATTAAGTTCTATTATCATTGCATACATTGATCAGTCAACACCAATTTCCAATCGTTTATATCATGCGTGGGTGACCGTCTTTGTTAGCCGTTTTTGGTGGACGTGGTTAAAACACAGTACGTTTCTTGATAAATCGACAAAAAAATCGTTGAAACAAATTAATAAATATTTTATAACTACATCTGCATTTTATTCGATTGAATTAAACGCACATAATTTATTGTATCTGACGCTATTAGTTATCCAAGAAGATTTACCGGTAGAAGCACTGAATGTGTTTTTATTTAATTCGCAAGCGTGTGAAGCAACTTTCAGGAATGCCAGATCATTGCGCGGTGTGTATTCAAGCATTACAAATTTTACTGTGAATGATTTTCTGCGACGGGCTCAAAAACTATCTGTTTTAAACGAAATAAAAGCCTATGAACAATTACATCCGCATGAAAATGAAATATTGTTTCCAGTTTACCATAAACACAAAAAACATTCATCTAATTTAATTGATGATAATCCGCGTTTGAAAATAACGTGCATTGAAACTATTATTAATAATGCTTATCAACAAGCAAAAAAGATAATCGTTAAACTGAAAATGTCAGCTCTACTGAAACAAAACAAAGCGTTAGAATTAAATGATTTGAATTTATATGTACGTAATCATTTGACTAATACAAATGATCATTCAACACTCGCCGATCAGTATGAATCTGAATCCGATTCGGACAATGAAACAACAACGAATAATGAACGACATGGTGATAATAAAACTGAAAGTGATTGTGACAGTGAAAATGAAACAGAATTAAACGAGGTATTAAGATCAAAAACGAAAACTTTTCCTGGTATCCGATTACTGGAAACAATCAATCCGACATTGGATGATTCCTACTTCGATATAAAAATTAATGACGAACATAAATTTCTTCATAAACAAACAGCGTGTTGGTTCTTAACTGATAAAAATACTCGTTTATCATCAGATAGATTAACGCGAGTAGTCGAAATGAGTAAACAGGATTAAAAATGAAAAGTTTTTTGTACACTTTTTTATGAAATATACGATATCCTCCATAGTTGTTTTTTCAATTAAGCCTTTATTGGTTTTCCAGGCAACCAACAACCTCCAAAACCCGAAAAAGCCTTCCGGATTTTCTAAAAATCCTCAATTTGACAAAAAACTAACCTAATTCAAAAATCGGCGCCAGTCAGTCCATGTAGTTTCTTTTCCTCCTTTAAATAAAAAAAGAATAAACTAGAGAAAACGCTGTATGACATACTCAACTTTAGGACTTCGAGATGCCTGTAACGTTTTAATGCAAGGTCATACAGACTTGTGCGAGGTCTTATTTTGATCAGAGAAGTCTGCTCTACAAATCTGTATCTTCAGAAAAATTTTATTTGTATAAGTATTCAGGAAAAACTAAAAGTATTATTTGAAGAGTAAAAGTATTGTTTTTCGAGGTTCTTAGAAAACCTGCCCAAAATCCCCCCAAAACCACTTTTATAACCAAAAGCGATACACATTCTGGAAGTAGACACTTCAGACTATCTTTTCATGTGAGTATCTCAAAACCAATTTTTTGACCGAAAATCACCATTTCAAAGGGGGGAGGGGGGGCATTTAAATCGAACGAACATCTTCATTGAGAAAAATATCACTACTTTATTCGAAAAAAAAAGCACAGTCCGCCACTCCGGACCGTTGTACGGAGTGCCGAAGTGCCGTAAAGTGTGCTTCACTCCGCGGAGTGCGCTTTTTCCCCCTTGGTAATATCACCAACATAATGTTCTTCAGTTGATCTTGATTCACATAAATGAGAAGCTATGACTAACGTTAAGAGATGTGTATAGTATGTATGATCCAGTATACCATCAAAAATAACAAATCCAACTAGAAGCAATGAACGAAGTTCGTTTGCTTTATATTTTAGCCATTTATAAAGTGGGCGAGGATAGCGATACGTTGTGGATGGATACGTGAATGAATTGAGACGATTCGTCAATGTTCGAAGGTGTTTGACACATGATAACGTTTATCAAGCCAAAGGCGCAATAAAAGACGCTAATAATGAAAAAAGGCATTATTAACTAGTCCTATACTTAGAAATAATCAATTTCTATCTGCTCGGGTATTCTCTACAGCAATTATCTTAATAAATAATTTAAAGTTTACACACGAGACATCCGTGATACAACGTATGAAGACTATCAAAGATAAATGATACATATTTGTATAAGTATTCAGGAAAAACTAAAAGTATTATTTGAAGAGTAAAAGTATTGTTTTTCGAGGTTCTTAGAAAACCTGCCCAAAATCCCCCCAAAACCACTTTTATAACCAAAAGCGATACAC